GATACAGTGGACATCTAGGATGCATTTGGATGATCTAGACTTCGCAGATGATATGGTTCTTCCATCTCACACTCACCAACAAATGCAGGAAAGGAGAACCAGTGTTGCAGCAGCTTCAGCAGCAATATGTCTCAATATACACAAGGCGAGAAGCAAGATTCTCCGACACAACACAGCATGCACCAATCCAATCACAATTGACGGAGAAGATTTGGAAGATGTACAAACTTTTACATATTTGAACAGTATCATCGATGAACACGGTGGATCTGATGCAGATGTGAAGGCACGGATTGGCAAGGTAAGAGCAGCATATTTACAACTGAAGAACATCTGTAACTTAAAACAATAGGCAACCAACACCAAAGTCACAATTTTCAATACAAATGTCAAAACAGTTCTACTGTATGTGGCGGAAACCTGGAGAACTACGAAAGCCATCATTCAGAAGATACAAGTGTTTATTAACAGTTGTCTGTGCAAAATACTTCGAATCCGTTGGCCAGACACCATTAGCAACAACCTACTGTGGGAGAGAACAAATCAGATCCCAGTGGAGGAAGAAATCAGGAATAAGTGCTGGAAGTGAATAGGACACACATTGAGGAAAGCACCGAACTGCATCACAAGACAAGCTCTTACATGGAGTCGTCAAGGCCAAAGAAAAAGAGGACCAAAGAATGGTTGTCGGTGGCCTATGCTCCATTATGAGTAACAGGCGTAAGTAAGCAAGTAAGTTTATGAATTCTTATAAATATTGAACATACACAAAAACATTACAATCACGGTTGATATAATTGTAAATGCATGTTTTGGCAAAATACATATCATATTAGTGAGTAGTTGAACAAAGTACAATTGAGTACTTTAAAACAATCATTTTACTCTATAAAAATGAAAAAAATCTATACGAATTTCTTATTCATGAAAAGAATCAATTCAGTTAGCTAATTAAAATCATGTCACGAAACTGTCAGATATGACACATATCATCATGTGATCGATAGTCAATAATGACGGCTACTCTCTGCTGCTCTAATTCTAGAAGTAGTTATACATATATAAAGGCGAAGTCTTGGGAAAACAGGTCAATGATAATTATCGATAGTTATAAATCAGTCGTTTGATTCAATTGAATGGTAGATAAATATTTAGATTGCTATATTCGATACCTTCCCTTTGTAAATTTCAGTAAAGTATGAACATTAATGTTATGGGAATAAGATGAATTCATTTTAGATATCTACAACTTATAAATGATTTTAGTGGCAGTGTATCTGATTCCATTTATTTTTTATGATGATTTGTTATCGAAATATACATACCATCAACACTCGTTTATGATTAACGACCTATATCGCATTAGTAAATAACGGAATTAAATAAGTCAAATACGACAATGGACTTTGAATTCGTATATTTCATACAATCTTGGAATTGGATAGACAATCACGGAAACAAAGAGAAGGCGAGTAAGCCAACTCAATTTAATCATGCTTGACTTGATATTTAGAGTCAAACAAAAATAAGTTACACACACATAATGAATAGGATAAGTAATTAACACGTAAAAAACATTCAGGATTAATGAGCGAATAAGTGAAAACGTCAAAATGTAGCTTGAGAAAAATGAATAATTTGGTGTGTCCAGAAGCTAGAATAACCTATGTGGGCTAAATATAGTACCAGCGACTATACGATAATATCAATCGGAATCACGAACTTAACTAAGTTAAACACTCATTAATAAAACCAAAGTATTGGATAGATGTTTTGTCCTAGTAAGGGATTGTTCAGCAGTACGCTTTTATGAGCACTCCACAGAGGATCGAAGCCAGAACATTCAAGCTCGCCTCAGATAAGATTTTCTTCAATAATCCCCACGACCCTCAAAATAGTAATGGTACTAATCAGTACAATGTGGATTAAATTTTTCGGTTGATATGTTGTAGATTAAGAAATAAAGCAGTCACGGAAGAATTAAAAATCCAGTGAAAATATTAATGTCACCAAACAAATGACGACAGCACAGAGAAAAAAGAATCACTTTTCAAAATATTATTCACTAAACTAGTAGAAACGTAATTTCAGTTAATTTACATATGATAGTCTACAAATAAAATAGGAGGTTGCGTAATTTAACAAAATTATCAAATATTAGACATAAGTTACGTAACAGTCTTAGAAATAAACAGTAATAATTTATTGAAAATTCTGATAATTTCAATGGTTGAAATCATGTGTCGATTGAAGCTAGACCACCATGGAAAACCTCGAAGCACTGGACGGCCGTTTCGTCCTACTGTAGGACTCCTCAACAGTGCGCACCCACGATCCCGCCTCGCAACATTCGAACCCAGGATCTATCAGTCTTGCAAGCAAGCGATTAACCATTAGACTACTGAGCTGGCATCCAACGGTGTTAATGTCTAACTTCAACTAACCTACAGAATTGTGCCGTCGTACACCATTGTTTTCAGTGAGCTGATATCTCACAACAAACCCAGTTGAACTCCACTGGTCACGGCTTCTCACTAGAACTCCAGGAAATGCATCTTGAAGTCACTCACGAGTGAGCAGATGACTATTATCAGAAGGGGTTTTATGGAGATAATTGTTTACTTTAAGAATATAGAAGAGAAAACCAGAGTAATAATTGGCACTAACAAATAAATCTTTGTATACAAAATTCATGTTTATTTGCTTATTATATTATGACCAAAGTGATTATTACTAATCGATGTCCTATTCTTCATCTTCTATTCTCAGAGTAGACAATTATCTTTTGTGTTCTTTTCTAAAAACTCCATAACAGTGTTAACACCGTTAAATGGAGACTCAGTAGTCTTAAGGTTAAGCGTTCGAGCCCAATACCAAAAAATCTGGGTTCTGTTTCAATGAAGTTCAACAATCTCCATAAATGCCTACTAATTACATTTGGAAAATTTCGACGAATTTGTAGAATGATGTAACATCTCTCATCAAAAAATATTTAGAACTTTTAGTGGTTTATTGTGTTTTATGAGTTAGATCATTGAGATGAAGAACTTCCACTGTCATTCTAGGAAACAACAGCCTCTACTTGCATATGCAGTTCCGTATATAAATCATCTAGCTCAAAGGACACAACACTATCAAAAACATCCACCAGAGATGTAAATATTCTTCATCATTTGTAAATTAACTACAACTCTACAGAACAAATAAATAAAGTCATCGAAAAGAAAAGTTTATGTAGTGAATTCTTAAAGCTATGATAATCGACAGATTGATAATACTTTCTAGGCGCATAAATTTGATTGATATCTTTTAATAGCAAGGGCTTCAGTTATGTGGAGATGATTTTGTTTAGAAACACAATGAAAGTTTTAAGATAAAACCACTTAGCTAACAAAAGATAATTCATTACAGAGGAAACTTGACGCTAGTATGTGTGATATGATTCTTAACTCACTTGATTCCTTTGACTTTGTCAACTCAATTAAAAATACCAATGTAAATGGTAGGAAAATGTTTTTATTGGATGTCACTTCTCTCTTTAGAAATGTTCCTCTCACAGAAACTGTATGTTTTTCATGTGATGACTATATTGAAAATAATAACCTTGATATTTGTATCCCAAAGCACTATCTAAAAGAGCTACTTCTACGATGTACTCTCAATGTGAAATTTAGATTTAATGATGGTTTCTATAGACAAAAAGATAGAGTTGCAATGGATTATCCATTACGTCCCCTCTTAACTGATCGTTTCATGGCCAATCTAGAAAACACGATACTTCGACCAATAATTAAGAGATTTCACATATAATAGAGATATATGGATGGTGCTTTCATTATTTGTGAAGATATAGAACTCAATGAAATTTTGAATATTTCTAATAATTGTCACTCCTCAATTCAATTCACTTTGGAAGCAGAGGCAAACGAGGAATTTTTTTTTTTATATCTAATTAAAAAGGAATGGACAGTACACGAATTTCCATAGCTGGGTCCAACTGAGTAGAAATAGGAACTTAATTCACTCTTTAACCTCAAAGATCAGGAGAATATGTTCTACTGACACAATAGATGAGGAACCACTTCAACTTCGACAGACTCTCATTAGGAAAGATTATCCACCCAGATTCGTCGATAGTAACTTAACACTTAGACATCATCCGGAAAAAGCACTAACAATACAAACGAAAACTCTTTTTATGAATATGGAATTTAAAGGAAATACGGCTGTTGAAATCTTGAATAAATGGATTTCAAAATCGTTTTAATCAGCTAAGCTCCGAACTGCTTTTTCAAACCGGCCTACCATTCACGGATGTATTAAGAATAAACTTCCTCTTTGAGCCACATCAATGTGCATCTATAAATTCACTTGCTCATGTGAGGCAGGTTATATTTGCCGCATAAAGCGATCACTTTCTAAACGCATTTCAGAACATTACCCCATATGGCTTTTAAAAGAATGCTAAACAATTACCAGTTCAATAAGGAACATTTAATCAACTTTGGACACCGGTTCAAAAGTCTTCTTTTAAAGTAATCAACACATTCAAAGGAATTGGATAGAAAGGAAAACGAATCAAAATCTTATGCACTGCTGATGCATTAGCAATCCACCAACTTAAGCTCGAACTTTGTGTGCAAAAACGACTCGTCCAACTTCTCATCTTTCCCTAGCCCTAATTCCCTTTAGTAGTATGTTTCGTTTTTTTCTTCCTTTTTTTATTTTACTATTGATTTTTTAAATTAGTGTTTTGCAATTTTAAAGTGTAATCAGTTATTATTATCACTACTACCTTATACAAGTTGTCTTGGTTATTATTATTCAGTTTTTTATTATTATGACCTTTGTTTATGTTTGCCGTTTTTTCTTCATATCTGTCAATTGGATAATTATCTGACCTGTAAATTATTTTCATCCTTATATTCTTTCCTTAACCTTTGATTATTGCGTAACCTCAGTTGATAATAAGAATTGATTGAAATCTTGAACCGATTGATGTTAGACCACCATTAAAAATCTGGAAGCACTGAACAACCGTATCGTTCTATTGTGGGACTCGTCAGCAGTGCGCATCCACGATCTTAGATCTCAATTAAAAACTTAATAATCTCCACAACCCTATACTGATAATAAGAATCTCGAATCAATTTGTGATGCAATCTTTTCATATCTTTCTATAAACTTATGTCTCTTCCATATAACTATAAATACGAATATACAGTTTAAGGAAATGATTATGTCGAAAAGAAAAATTTCTTCATTGAAGAATTCTCTTTATTTTTATTCAATAGGTTATTTTAATTATCTAAGTAGTATATCACAGTTTTAAATTACACTATTTATTAATTAGATCAACATGAGAAATATTGTATCACATCTTCTTTTTTTATTCTAATGCGAATAATTATTATGAAACATATAGACTACTATTTATTTTATTATCTTATCAAATGCCAGTTTTGTAAACAAATAGTAATGTGTTAACCACTAGCAAAAAAAAATTTTTTTTTAACAAAATAGTACATAAATATCGGGAGATAAATGTATACATAAACACAACACATACATATATATGCTCTTTTACAATTTAAAGATAAACAGATATAAGTAGTAACAAAATAATACTAATAATAATAAACATACATTTTGGACAATGAACAATGAAAAACAAAAAAAAAAATAAAACCAAACAAGAAAACATACTTTTGAGGTTAGTTGTAAAAAGCTGGGAATAATAAAATAACAACACCATTAATAATACTAATAAGAATAGTAAACGTTATATATGATATGAAGAATATTGGCTGACAAAACGCATATGTGTGTATGTGTGTGTGTTCATATACTTGAAGGGTCTTATTGTATTTGTTGTTAATAATAAATAGTATTGAAGATTGTATTATTATCGTTAACAGTAAGTAACATATATGATGATACTTAAATAGAATTGCTTTAAGCAAAAATACAAATAATAGACAAACAAATAACCTGTATTTGTTCTTCATAAACACGGAATAATAACAATAATGATAACATTAAAAAAAAAAGAAAGGAAAATATGATTCATCAGCCAATATCGACTGTTCCTTACTTTTCCTCTATTATTACCGAGTACATTTGTGAATCTATGACAAATATTTATTAACAAATTTTATTTTTGTTTTTTAAAAATCTATGTCATATTATCATTAGTATATATTTTTATATTTCTCCTGGTTTACCACATAATAAAGGAAGGCCAATAATTAAAGCCAATGGTCCAATATGTCCAATAAAGCGCATTTGTCTAAAGAAGAAAAAAAAAGAGAATAGTAGAGAAGAGAGAAGAAAAGAAACATTAGTAGTGTAGTGTATATTCTACGATTATTGATATCTAATTAATGTACTTTGAAGAACTACGACAATCATCATCAAGCAGGTACAAGTATTTCTAAATAGTTAACTACGCAAGATACTCAACATTCATTGATCGGATACCATCAGCAACAGACTTCTGTGAGAGAAAACCAACCAGCTTCCAGCTGATGAGGAAATTAGGAAAAGACTATGGAAATGGACAGGACATACACTACGCAAATCATCAAACTACATCACGAGGCAAGCTCTAACTTGGAATCCTAAAGGGAAGGGGAAAAGAGGAAGACCAAAGAACACATTAAGTTGGGAAAGAGAAGCAGATATGAAAAGGATGAATAACAACGGGAAAGAGTTGGAAAGGATTGCTCAGAACAGGGTTGGATCGAGAATGCTGGTGAGCGGCCTATGCTCCTTCACGAGGAGTAACAGGCGTAAGGAAGTAATTAATGTACTGATGGAAAAGAATCACTTTTATATTATGAAAATTATACAACAGTAGTGATAAATAATAAGAACATTGAAACTTATGCTTAACTGTTTGATTTATCGAATGTTAAAGGTCAGAACCCGGAAATAAATAAAGTGATTGTGTTATGTCCCAATAAGAATAATGAATAGTAACTTTTGGGATCCATTTATCGATCAATACTGTGCGTATATTTTTATCGTATAAGTGTTAATTAACTAAACTATTCATATTCATACCCTCCTTATTATGAGCTTTATTTTGGCCTATAAACTATTATTATACCATTTACCATTCTTGAATTATGCCCTGTTTATTAATCACTACCACCCACATTCACAGCCACATTTGGATAAATCTTGTACAAATGTTGTTTCTTATTTTATTGGTACGATGTGGTTTGTCTGGTATATAAACCGAGTGTGTTTGAAATAAATGATTCATATTGCAGAGCCTGAGATTGGTGTTCTGGACTTAACAGGTAGCGCTAGGTGGGAAGCAGGAGCAATAAGGATTCTGGACTGCTCGTATGGGTTTTACGAGTCATTGGTCTGATTGATAATTTACTGCTCTCTCATTGGCGGTATCGATACGTTATACATTAGCAGGGAACTGAGGCTACAAGTTATAACAGATTGATTAGAGATTAAAGAAAATTATTCATACTCAAATGAAATTCAAACAAACATACAATGTCAGTATGAGGATTTGATGAGATTGTAGTACTTTCACAGTTGAATTCACGAGTTAATTTAAGCCAAACCACCATCAAGAACCTGGAAGTACTGGACGGCTGTTTCGTCCTGGAGATCTAGAAGTTAGGCGTCCGCGCGCGAGACTGAAGGTTCTGGGTCCAAGTTCCGCATGTGGGATCGTGGATGTGCACTTCTGAGGAGTTCAATACTACGAAGAAACTGTTGTCCAGTGAATCCAGGTTTTTATTGGTGGTCTAGCTTAAATCGACTCGTGAATTCAACTGTGGGAAAATATACAATTTGTTGAAATTACGTTGTTAAAGATCGATTATGATTGGAAATATTGAATTGTATATCGTAGATGTAAAGTCTTCAGTTTAAAAACACAATGGTTCTAGATCTGCTTTACTTGCTCTTCAGTATGAACAATCAATCGGTTGAATATAATAATTCTTATTACACTCCCATAAAATGTTTACTTGACTGAAAGGTAAATGTGTAAACTCTAACCCTATTAGGTATTTTATAATCTTGTATGTAAGTATATTTTTCAAATATTTATTATTGCTAGTTCTATTGTATTACGTCGGGAAATAGAAGCAGATATGAAAAAGATGAATAACAGCTGAAAAGGACTGGAAAGGACTGCCCAAGACAGGGTTAGATGACGAGTGCTGGTGGTCGGCTTATGGTCCTCCACGAGGAGTAACACGCGTAAGTAAGTAAGTTATATTGTAATTATTCTCATAGATGTAACTACTTACTTCTTGCAACAAAAATTTTTCATATGCAGATGTGGTGTTTTTAGTAGGTACATATATATTTATTCATTGTTTATTTGAATATATATGAACAATTGAATTTCATTTACTAAAACAGCTCCCACTCCACTTTTAATCATTTTAGTTACATACCAAGTCGGGGTTACGTATAGGAAGTAGGTATATAGAAATCTAATGGCAGAACAAAATAAAAATTTCCACCTGACCTGGAAAATCCTCAACATTTCAAAATCGAGTGAATTAATACATTAGCTGCATATAACAATACGTGTTAAAATTACAAATGACATTTCAACGACAATAACAATATAAAATTTAACTAACCTCCAAAAATGCAAAACTTTATCAGTAGTCAATAGAAAAAACGGTACACCCAAATAATTTAAGCATAACATAGCGCCTAAATTAGTTAGTACATTATAGAAACAATGTAATCCGGATGAACGAAGAAAATACGGCCGAAGATGTTTTCGACAAACTCTACATAAATTTTATTTTGAAAAAGAAAACACAATACATTTTTATTTAAATGGTCAATTTATGAAATAATTTGGAAGTTAGAAAATTTCGTAATATCAATTCGTCAGTTAGTTCGTTGAATGGAATTTTACCTGGATATTCTTAATCAGTCAATAAGTGAATATTCTAGTAGAAGATCAACCACTGAAAAGCCAGAGGGTAAAAGTTGTTTTATGTTAGAATTTAAGAAAGGTCAAGGTATAATAGAAAGCAGTGGCAGATAACACATGTGTTACTGTGTTCGCATAGTAAAACCATTAGAGTGAAATAGTACTTAAACTGTGTATTACCTCGGAAACTTAGTTATGAGTAATATTCTAATAAATAGGCAAGGAAGATAATGATTGGTTATTTGCTTCATCAGATTAGCAGGTAGTCTGATAGGTGTCAGATAAGTCACATATTCTCCTACTCTTATTACTATTGTGATTGTTGTCGTTTTTGGTGTGGAAATATATTTAAGTTCTAGTTAGGCTAATCACGTGTTTTGACCTGAGTTGTTTTGATGTCTTGTACAGTAGACACTGGGAGTGTATTTAGTGTAGATATTGATCTAATGCAAATTAGCATCCCATTTTTCTAGACGGGAAACTGGGCGTCATGACACATCCAGTGTGACAGGAATGTACGATACTTATAAGTCAAACTTGTTGAACAATTTGGGATGAGTTTGAATCTAAACTTTCATGATTCGATATTATATTAACAAAACCTAGATCTTACTGAGCTAAGATGTAACCATTACTTTAAGTCCCTATCCGCAGCTATTCACCTCAGCAACAGCTCGATTTAAAATAAAAAAGTTGGAGATCCTACTAACGAACAAAACATGTCATAGCGAATATATCGAACACAATATTCATAAATGACTATAGACTATTGGTTGCCTAAACAGCATGACCACAATGTTTCAAGTTGATAGACCAAAAAGAACGAATACAAAGAAATAATTGATGAGCATGACTTTTTTGAATGCTTTGGTGGAATATACTATTCTTTATTGGGTGTATTATGTTTGTTCACTCTAGATTACTTAATAATACAACAAATAGAAGAATAGCCAATGTAGTTATTTTGTGAATATTTTTTCTGTTATAACCAAATCGATTCACAATCATGTAATTTTTGTTAAATGCTTGATCATGTTTTTATGTTATTGATTCATTCCCTCCCATTCAGTTAACTGACAAATGTTATAATTTTCTAGGATATATTTGGTCAGCAAATGCAATATAGTTTTATGAGTAAACTATTTATTCGATTTCGAAATGTTGGATATTTATCGACCACATTATTCACCATAGAATTTTAGTGAGTCAATCACAACATAGAACTTATACGTATGTACAGAGGTTCAAATTGCCACACACGTTAGCACACCGAGATGAAATTGTCAAACCAAATCACAGAATGGTAGACATACTAACAGTATCAGTGGTAATAGAAAACATTAGGCATCTAATACATAACTTGAAAAAAGTATATATATTAGTAAAATAAGATTTTTAAAAATTATGAGGAATTTACAATCTTAGACATCTATGATCAAACACCAGTAACATACAAATATCTACTTTTAATGGTCATGTTTTACACCCATAAAATAGGACGAAGCGAACTGACAGATATGTCGCTTACACCACAAATGACACAATTTGGCAAAAACAAATTGAGTCTACTGAATTCGTGCTGAGATTTCGTCAGACACCAGATTTTCACAACTGATGAGACCACCGAGATCAGTGAAGCGTTCATCTACTTCACACCCTATCACTAATTCAAGCGATGAAGTAAACCAATCCCGAAGTAGCATTTTACATTTGCAAAGAGACGCACCCCAATAATGCTTGGATTGTTGTTTAAGGCTTGCATTTTGTCAGCATCTTCACAAAACAGAACTATATCATCTGCGTATTCCAGGTCAAAATGTGAATCTCCTGTTAGAAGATCAAGCCCTGAAAAGTCAGACGACGAATGTGTTATCACTAAGAGCATGTCTATGACAGCGTTAAATAAAAATAGAGAAAGAGGTTAACCTTGAAGAATGCCACTTGAAGTAACCAATTCCGATGACAGTTCGCCATTAAGCACTGACTCAACCAGTAAGTGTTCGAGTAGAGAGTCTGTACAAGATTAAAATACTTCTTTGGTACACCTTTCATTGAAAGATACTGCTACAGAACATCATGATCAACGGAATCGAACACCACATTTAGGTCAAGGAATACAACTATAATTGGACGTCGAAAAGCACTTCTGTGTTCCAGAATCTGCCGAAGGGTGTATAGTTGGTCTATACATATACTTCCAGGTTTGAAACCAACCTGAATCTCTCGGTCTTGCTGTTCAAGAGCTCTAGTTAAATATCAAAGTATTATTAAGGTTAACATTTTAGACACTATATTAGTTAAACTGATTTCTCTGTGATTGTCACAATGAGAGTTTTATCTTTTCTTATAAACTGAAGCGATCAGCAATTGAGACCAGTCAAATGGGGAATACATCCAGATATCAGATTCTGGCAAAATTTCAATTAATTTAACTACTAAAACTGGACTACCATACTTAAAAATTTCAACAATTAGTCTATTAGGTTCTGTTTTGCATAAGATTGTTTATAACTTTTTCAACCGCACTGAGTTGGAGGACTTACATCATAGAACAGATACTACGTTAACAAGATTATATACTGTTAAGATAGGTACATGTATATTGTAATATGATAAATAAGTGTTACATAATTTTGTATAATATCTTTCAACTTAATTGTATATATAATGAATAAAGAGAGAGAATAGAAGTTCATTAAAAAATCAATAAATAAAAATTACCAATTTTTTTTTTAAAAAAAATTTATGATAATCACTATGATTATCATTATTATTACTGGTAATAGTCAGTAGTTGTTATAATACCAAAGATAATTTACACTAAACAGAAAATACTTCTCTTTATAGGTCATCATTATCACGTGATGTTTATTCTTTCTCCTTTTTTATTGAATCAATGAATGACCTTATAAGAAAAAAAATCACTCGATAAAAAAAAGTGGAAGAGAATAACCATTAGAAAATAAAGAATAAATAAAAGAGGAAACAAACTAGATAAAATTTTAAGTATATATACACAATTGTAAGTTGAATCTGTCATAGATTGATTTCGATTGTGAGGTACTATTGAAAATTATAAAATACTAGATAGCTATTTAATCTTAGTGAAAAGTTTCTTAGCAGAATGCATCTATGATTCGACAGAGGATCGAACTCAGGACTTTATGAGTCCTAAGACAAACATGTAATCAGTGAAACCAATGGATCAGTGTCTAATTATAACTTCGATAGATTTACGGATATAATCCACTAAACTTCTTATGTCATTGATGGCAAATGTTTCACATCTAACATTTTCCAAACCTAAAAATCATGACTTTTTATTACGTTTCTCTACACCAACCTTGAGAAGTGATTAAAGTTGGAAATATAAAACAGTGGATTTTAATTTGGCAGTTCAGAAGTTAAGTACCAACAGCTAGACCTAAAAGTTCGGAGGTTGGATTATGGACGTAATTCAAGATACTCATATTAGGGCGAAACAGCCGCTACATGGTTTCGGATAGTATCCGAATGGAAATAAATCCATAATGAATATATATGATTATTAAAATCAATGAAATTTTTGAAATCAAATCACAAGTAAGAGGGAAAAATCAATTATCATAAATTTAATGCGACTACGAACTGATCTCAGTTGAACAACTATCGAAAACCAGGAAGCACTGGGCAGCTGTTTCGACCTTGTATGGGACTCCTCGTCAGTGCACATTCACGATCCCACTCATATCGTCAATTACTCATTACTGCAACAGTAAACAGGATCAATAATACATTACTATACAGTCACTCGGTCATAAAGAAGTTACAAACGTGATTCAGTATAAGTTTTCATATATTACATCAACACATCCAGAGGTGAATTGCAAAATATAACGCAAACAAATAAAAACGGAAAACTAAACATGAAGATTGCAGTTCAAAAAGCACAAATGGAAATTATAAGTGAAAGGCTTGAAATAATATTATGACACACAACCTCGAGGAAACTAAAGGATGAGCTCATTTAAGGCATTGAGACTGGTATTATCGAATGAAAGAAAATGGTTAAAATGACAGGATAACTATGACAAAAGTCTACAAAGTTTGAAATGTCAGTCAATAATGTAGAAACTGAAACGAACATGCATCCGTCTGGGTTTCTATATCTTATATGAGCACATCAAGAAGGGATATTAACAAAATGAGAGGAAAGGGGAATAATTAATTTCAACTGTAATTGGGATCCAAACATAAGAAACGTAATTCGAAAAGAACGAGAAGATTAGAACACAAGACTCAAGATAAAAAATTAAAGAGTGATTTCAACTGTATTTCTGTGATCGATTTTCCAACACATTACAAAACATTTCTAATAACTGATTACAGTCACTGTCCAGACCCAGACTCGAAATGCTCTCACATGGCCACGCGTATATAGCCTCTGCCAGGGAAGTCCTACTCACTGCCTTCTCGTGGCGGGGGTGTTGTTTACAAAAATGAGAGGACGAAAAGCGAATGTCCGGCGCTTTAACCGGACCCCAAACCAATGGTGCACATGGGCTCCAGTATCCTGAAGGAACAAATGGCGTATGAACCAATCGTTGGTCACCGGCTACCATGGGACTGCATCTCTTTATGATGCTCCACTGCCTCGTGGATCACATGTTTTGGTCGAAGGCTCGGGGTGTGCCCCCCCTAAGTAAACCACCTGCTTCGGTTTGGGCATTCGTGCAGTATCACAGCCCTTACACAAATCAAATGAGATCTATGTGGCGCATATATATTTGGTGCCTCCAGACCCAAATCAGAGTCTACAACTACTCACATTAGCAGTGGATGACTTCAGTGACTGATACCATTTCGTCAACTGTTCGTTACTGGTCTGTTTTAAATCTATTATAATACCAGCCACATTTGTAAGTCGGGTTAGGCTGTGATCAAGTACGTTCATATGATATTGAAATGATAGATTTGTAGCTTACTTCTACCAAAAATTTTTCTCATATTTTTCGGAAGAAAACTGAAAGCTTCACGACTAAACCACTGAGCTCAGAGAACGAAACTCCACCAAAATTTGGCCAGGTTCACGCAACATATGTTGTAAAAACCTCAGTTGACGAAGATTTATAGTAAAGACGATCAATATTTTCTGAACAATAAACAGTTCTTTCTTGCTCACTACTGCTACTGGTATGACTGTTGGTTATGGCTGCAAAAGAACTGCTTTCTACTACCTAGTAGACGGAACTAACAGCGAGTTCCGCAAAAGTAGGAACAAATAAAATTTTGTGCGAAACACCCAATGAAGGCGTAGAGGCAGAAAACAAAAAAACTGTAAATAGGTACACTTATCAAAATTGTCATTCTCCTTCCTAATTTTATCAAGGATAAATATCAGCCGAACAACTAACACAAATCAAAAACTAAACACTTATATAACTCGAATCTGGAATTTGTTAAGAATGTGCAACCATGACCTAAAGAGGAATTTAGCCAAGAACCTTTAAATTACATGTTAAGTACATTCTGAGAATCACATAAGGAAAAAGAAAGAAACGGTCTCACAAAATGTTTCTACATAGTTTACTCAGTACATTCTTAGAAAAAGTCAAAATATTTACAAATAAGGTCTGACAGGGATTTGTTGAGTAAATAGTAAACATAAGATGGATAATATTAAATGTATTCAACATAATACACATAAAAAATTTACTTGATAAAAGCTATAATTATCCAATGTTTTTAACATAGCCTGTAAATACACAGAAGGAAAGTTCTGTTATAAATAAATGTACTAGAAGAATGAATTTTAATATATAAAATCAATGATCTTACTGTTTCTATGATGTAATATTCATTTTATTATTATTATTATTATTATTATTATTATTATTATTATTCATTTACTTTTGAAACCACCCATTTTGAGTGTACAAAGCTAACTTCTTATCACATACAAATTATGCATTCATCTTAACAATACTGTGTACAAAATATTTACACTTATAAATAAAACCTCATAAAATTAAAATATGTCAATCTAGTCGATTTGCAGTTAAGAAAAAAAATAAAATAAAATGATGAATCGATCTTATTCTCAATGTATCACATGCTAGTCTCAACTGCGATCAGAAAAAAAAAATTATAAAAAAGATATTCAAAAATGAACAAGACAAACACACATTTTGGTAAGACATTGTTTCGATACCTTGCCGAAATTATATATATATATATATATATATATATATATATATATATATATATATATATATATATATATATGTACAGAAAAAAGTGATAATTGGTAGTAACTGTATATACAGATTTCAGAAGAGAACAGAAATGAAATGAACTTGCACATTGATATTTTTTAAAGTTAATATGAATGCATATTCAAACCAAAAGAGCAACTTCGAAGAATCAACATATTTATAAGTAAGTTTTTACAAAAAAAAAAATACTATGCTTGGTAAAACGTAAGGTTTAACTGATAGATAGAAATATTAAATGGAACGGAACCGATAACTGCATGACATGAAATTAATGTCATGTGACCAGAAAACACTTTAGTTATGGTCTGTATAAATGAAATAGAGAGAGCACATTATTGAGTATCAAACTAGAGGTTTATAATAAAAACGAGGTCAATATTACATGAAATCGAATATAACAAGTAAACTCTTCGTTTCCACTTCAAAAAAAAAACTTAAACTAACCTTCCTGTCACTGTGATTAGAGCTGCAGATACAAAAACTAGATAATAACCTGGATAGAAACCATGCCACATGGCTGATGCAACGAAAACTGCCCAAACAGCATAACGTTTTGGTACACGATCATATATACATTCACGTAACCAACGCGTTGTTGCTGTATTCCAAGAATCTAAGATTGTTTTTGTACTTGTACCAAGCTTAAGAAAATATAGATAATCTTCATGAGAGATAATCATTCCCTTATAATCAAATACATAAACTGTTTTAATATACTATAATCAATAAAATAGGTTGTAGGAAAAGAAACAGTAGTGGCACGTAAAGTGAAGCATGTTTCAACAATGATTTGAAAGTAATTTTGAACGTGAACTGATATTAACTGAAGAGTAGTTAAAATTACGTAAGCTTTGAATAGGTACTTTTCGCTAAATTAAAACATCACAGAAGTATGCGCCTATAATGTAATACCATATGAGGTTAAAGGAAAGATTTATACACCTTATAGTAAACACAACATATTTAAATTAAACTATGATGATCAAAACGTGAAGACAGTCAAAATAAATATTCAAGGAACATAATCATGAAATTTAAGATCAACAAATCAAGTAATCAGTTGTACATGAAGAAATTTTTATAGATCATTTCTATATGAAATTTGTTTTGATGAGATTGTCTAGAAAGACAAGAAAAGTTACCAACCTAAACTATTCAATTCAGAGAATACAAATTCATCAGAAATATTTAACTCGATTAATAAGAATCAAATAATTGTAGAACAATATTGTGATGAGAATAAAGGTTCTTTTCAATTGTACACAATTCTTACAAAACTATTATGATTATGATAACAAAAAAGTAATAGAAAGTGGTAGTAGTAATAATAATATTATTATTATTGGGGTATTAAGAAATGATAGTGTCAATTTTTTCTACTTCTAACAAAACTAATAGTTAGGCAATAAATAGTTACACTTATTTCAATAGTTGAAATCATGAGTCAATTGAAGTTAGATCAACATGGAAAACCTGGAAGAACTGGACAGTCGTTTCGTCCTAGTATGGGACTCCTCAGCAGTACGTATCCACAATCCAGCCCCCCTGCGAGATTCGAACTCATTACCTATCGGTCTCGCGCGCGAGCGCTTAACGATTAGACCAATGAGTTACACTTATAATCAGTGATAATTATAAACGATAATAATAATAATAATGTTATCAAATGAAATACTGAATATCACATATCTATTAATTAGCATGAAACGAGTAATTACGTAATGTATTCTTAACTACATAACAATAAGATAATTAATCAATAAATAGACTGACTACATAGAAAACTTTTCATCATCATAATATCATCAGCTGATCATATTAATAGTAGTACAAGGATGGGTAAATAATGATTACACAGTTGCATTTACTTCTTAATCGTTAGAAATTGAATGCATTTTATAAATAAGTAAAACCCAAGGACAAGGAAACAACTGAAAACTTATACAGTGAAAAAAAAAATAAAAGAATTTTTACTCATATCTTATTTTTCAAAGAAACCGTGACCTGAAGATTATCTACTGGTGTAATTCAACAACGTATCCAAATTCTACTTCAATCAGTCAATCACAACGTAGAACTTATACGTATGTACAGAGGTTCAAGTTGCCACATACGTTAGCACACCGAGATGGAATTATCAAACCAAATCACAGAATGGTAGACATACTAACAGTATCAGTGGTAATAGAAAACATTAGGCATTGAATATACAACTTGAAAACAGAAAAAATTATAATGAATTTACAATCTCAGGATTTATGAGAAGACAAAAAAGTGAATGCACCTGCCATATTTCAAACGATTTTTAGCCATGTCATTCAAAGTTTCTAACCACTGGTTACAATAGTCACGCGGAATCCAACCAAGTGGTCTATACCTATTAACATCGTTAAGTCCAATTGTCAGTGACTTCATGGATTGATGTCATGTTTTGGTTTGGCCACCCCAGGGTTTCTTACATACTACTCCTGCACTAGAAGACATCGCCTATAAGAGGTGAACGGTGGTTGGACATACGTAGCACATATCTCAACTACCTCAGTCGATGAAGATTTACTACCTTATCAGTTGATTTCTATTTATACAATCTTGAACAGAATATCGTTATGTTGAACTTATTCAAAATTTAATGTGATATGTTACTCAATGAAATAGTCATTATCGAAATATCTTACTTAACTTGTACGTTTAAAAAGATACCATTAGATAGTAAATTAGTAATTGAATTTATCGGTTGTAATGTTATCAACAATTTACATCCGGAGTTCTTAGCGGATCATAATAATCAAGTTTTGTTGATGTTAAACTAATTAGATAATCATTAAAAACTAGAGAGCATCGGGTAGCCGTTTCACTTATACTAGTAATAGATTTCTCAGTAGTGTATACATTTGACACTAAGATTTTGTGGTGAATACAATAATTACACTTTGAGACCACCACCGCTATGTTGATATTCAACGGATCATAATCTAAACAAATAAACAAACTTCAATTTGTATACAATATTCCAAGATTATATTTCATTTTCATTGGTGATAATTATCGCGCATTTGATATAAAATATTTTAAGTTTTTTTAACATTCATTGTTCTGTAGACTCGAATGAACTATTCGTAAAAGTTCATAGACTCGATTCACGTAAATTGTACTGTTCACCTTTTCATAGTTAGAACCGTTTTACACACTAGATACTTATTTATTGACAGAATATGTACATATCTAACAAAATAAGGAATGTGCTTACCTCAATAGGCAAAAAGTAAATATTAGTAGCCAGACGATATTCTGGCTCGCCTTTACTATTAAATCCAGAAAATCCAAAACCTGCGACTAAATTTGATAGACAACCTAATCGGGAAATAAAGAAATAAGTATAAATATATCACATAGCATACAGATGCATCAAGTCTAGGTAATTCACAAATGTTATTGATAAATCGATAACTGAGTCAAAAGTAAATCGGAATCAAATAGTTTTATTTATTTATTTGAACATATAAACATTGGTATAAGAGGGGCACCAAACAAATGCACCACACAATAGCAGTGAGGTCAGTAGTAGTTATCACTTGTTTGTGTGAGGGCTGTGATACTGTCCAGGTGCCCAAACATAGGCAGTTGATTTTATGAAGGGACTACACCCCGAACCTTTGACCTAAGGATCTATTCCACAAGGCAATAGAGCAATGTTAGGGGGTGCAGTCCCATGGTAGATGTTAACCAACAATAGGTTCGCACGCCATTTGTCCTCTCAGAATCCCAGAGTTTACGTGCACCACTGGTTCGAAATCAAGATTTTCCAACTAACCTAGATCCTCCATATCCACCAGCCCGATTAAAACGCCGAACATTCACTTTCCGTCCCCTCAATTTCGTAAACAACGCCCCTGATGCGAGAAGACAATGAGTAGTACTTTCCTAGATCTTAGTTCCTGAGTAAATAGAAATTTAATTGATTGATAATTGTGTTCTAAACTATTGCATCAGTCATGAGTTGAAACTATAACAACTGAATCGTACCAGCTTATAATAATGAAATATATTCTCATTAATGATTGGTCACTGGCTAGCACTAGCTAACGTCAAGCTTGTCTAGTGAAAGTAGAGTCCTGTAGATCGAATTGCAGAAAGGCTTATAAGTATTAGCGTTGCAATATCACATAAACTATATTTTGATGTCAAGGGGTTGAAGACAATCGGCAGTTATTTTGAACCTAAGGGTCCGAGTGATTTTCAACTCCTCAGCAAGACACGTTTGCAATATTGAAAGGAATGATGTTCAAAACGTGGGATTCGAATGACAAATATGCCTAAGGCCTAGTTATGTTGACTTCATCTAACCATTTAACATCAAAACACACATCTATCTTGAGATAATAATGTATGAAGCTACAGTGAACGCTATTGTTTGTATCGTATTCTGAGTGAGACTGTTTAATTACGGAGCTTTCATTATAGTTCTGGATAAAATTAACTATCACACATGTGTAATATCAGTTCTTTCTGAAACCTTTGTTCCTAATCAATTATTTTAACAAATTTCGTTGTCTCCATTTGCTTTCCCTTTTATGGTGACTGGCTTGATTGGTTGACCTCTTACATATCGGTTATGAAAAAACTGGAAAGCTCACTTTTAGATAAAGTAGGCACTGGTGATTATGCTCAGAATAACAATGAAAACTCAGCAATTTAACTTTCTAGGCCACAGAAAACAACACCGACATACCAATCTAATGGATGTAGGTAAATCAAGCTCCTGAAGGACCTGGTCCAAAAGTTCATAACTAGACAATTAATCGAATGTTCAAGACCCAGTATCAAAGTTACACACTCGACTCGCAAAGTAAAATAAGAAAAAATCGAGACAATAATTAATAGAAATCCACTAGTCACTGTGATGTGAAAATTAATAATACTTACTAAGAGTCCAAGCAAAATAGAACTTTTGGCGAAAACCAAAACAAGCGATTGACAAGTAAATAAATTTTTGAAAGTAATTCTTTTTTGCAAAATTTTCAGCTGATGGGTAAAAAGAAAAGAAAATACGTATAGAAAAACTGTAAATCACAATCATACTGTAAAATCGTCAAGATAACAAATGAGGAAAAACTTCAAGGACTCTGCTGTTTCATTAAATGCAAAATATGTCACTCATTCATTCATTTTAACACATAAGTATAGGTACAGGGAGGCACCAAGTACATATGCGCCACACGAATCTCAATTGATTTGTGTGAGGGCTATGATACTGCCCGGGTGCCCAAATTGAAGCAGTTGGTTTTCTTAGGGGGCCACACCCCGAGCCTTCGACCTGAACGTCTGACCCACAAGGCAGTGGAGCATCGTGAGGAGATGCAGTCCCATGGTAGCCTGTGACCAACGATTGGTTCATACGCCATTTGTTCCTTCAGGATACTGGAGCCCATGTGCACCATTGGTTTGGGGTCCGGTTAAAGCGCCGGACATTCGCTTTTCGTCCTGTCATTTTCGTAAACAACACCCCCGCCACGAGAAGGCAGTGAGTAGGACTTCCCTGGCAGAGGCTATAAACGCATGGCCATGTGAGAGCATTTCGAGAGGGAGAGCGGAATCTCCCCACTCTCGGCCGTACCAGGGCATTTGGGGGCAAATATGTCACTCAAAATTACCATTGCAGTTACTTGATTATACGCTTGTAAGACCGACTATATGTGACATAAACTGGATATAAACAAATTAAAACATATCAAAATGAGACACGATCGTACAAATATTGGGATTATCTGACTAATGTAACAAAATTGATATATATATATATATATATACGAACTAGAAAGTGGCTTACACAGAAATTCCTCGGGTTTAAAACTATGAAAGGACCATAAGACTAATATAGCGTGAAGTAGTAGAAGTTTCGCCTGTTTCCATTTCTCTGCCTGGAGAAAAATAGGAACGAAAGGAAAAGTATTTTTTTTAATTGGAAAAAGAGAATGTAAATTTTCATATATTGGACATTGAATAAATCGCATCATACAGTTAACCTTTGCACATTGATGTAGACTGTACAACAGATAGATTTGGCTGTCTTTGGAAAGGCTGGAAATCGATGTGCACTGTACATTGTCAAGTTAGACACCATTATTATGGAAAATGTAATTTCTATTATGTTCTTTAGAATGTCTGTTGTACGCAATGGATTATTGGCTAATCTACTTTAGTTCAAATCAATAGTGAGCGTGTTTGAATCGTATACAAACTACTTTGGTTTAGAAAGCTGAATAGTAGTATCATTAGCTTTCATAGAAGTTTGACTCAAAGCCGAGTATACATACTTATATTTGGTGAATGAACTACACTATTTAGTAAATGCGGAAATTGATGTTTGTGAGTTTATTTATTTAGGTATTTAAATTAATGCACTGATTCTTCTGTACGATTATTCTTGCTTAATCCCAAATAGCTGGGAACAATCTGTAAGAAATTCTAGATCTATATTTCTGTTTATTTGGCACTTATAAGCAAGTTGTATCAGCAGCCTTGAAGGAACTAAGATTTTTCATGAGACTCAATCTCACATCAATGAGTCACATTCGAAGATGTAATCATCAAAATATTCGGACTGCAAAACCGACCATATAGAGAGTTGGCATGTGCAAAGTGATTGATTGCCCAATTAGTAGTAACCAATATCATGTATTGTTTAGTACGTAACAATTCTATCGATATGAAATGTTTGAAGAGGAGACGAATAGTAAGCACAATAAATAGATTTAATGAATTCAGAGGCATATAGAACGAATCGACTACTGTTATTGACTTCATATTAAAATTATTAAGTAAAAATAAAGAGAGAGTGCAGAGAAAATTCTCACACAATAGACAAGCTGCTTCAACTTCGACGAATGCTTATCAGAAGCGGTCAATCACATAGATCTATCGACAGAAACTTAACACTAAAACTACAAATCCAAAGATCAACGGCAGTTCAATAGAAAATGAATTTTAAAATCCCTGAGGAAGACTTTATACTCAGCCGAGCTTCGTATCACCTACACAACCCAGGCCACCATTCATGGATGTATCAAGAGTAAACTTTCGCTATGGGTCACAACAATGTGCATCTAGAAGGTTACTTGTTCTTGCGGAGCAAGTCACAAAGGCCGCACAAAACACACTTTAGAAACACATTGCAGGATATTAGTCGGTATGACTTTTAGGAGGGGAATGTAAAACTCAATAGCTTAATACAGGAGCACCTCATCAACCTTGTCTGCGTTGCCCCAAACAAATCTTCCTTCAAAATAATCTATATAATGGAAAGAATGAGATCAAAGGGAGGTTAATTTAGGAAATTACGTACTGCTGAGGCACTGGCGATTCATCAACTGATGCCTGAACTCCATTTAAAAGCAACATATTCAACCATTTATATTTTCATGACCTTAATGTCATTTTCTAGTAAGCTTTATTCCTGTTATGATTACTACTTTGTATCTTTCAAAAACCGCAATCAGTTATTACTATCCTCTAACACTTTTTCATAATTATCATCCAATTGTTATCATGATTTTTGCGTTTTTCATTTTTTGTCATACCTGTCAAGTGGACAACTATCTTTTATAATTCAAACCAGTAAATTATTTTCATGTTGCTTTCTGATGTAATTTCTTTATATCTTCCTATAGACATATATTTAGCAAACAACTATGGACGGGAATGTACAGTTTGAGTAAATGATTTCGTCAAAAAGATAATTCTCTTTACTGAACTCTTGTTATTTTTATTTAGTGACACAATGGGTTACCCTAATTTTTTCATAACTTAATTCATTATACTGTAGGTATGTTAAAACAAATAGAACTGTATGTAAAGTAAATAAATGTTCACAATCAATCTTACTATTAATAGTAGTGCCGTACTACATAGACTATCATGATAACTTGATTATAATGAAACAGTAATAACTGGAACATTTTCCAAATACTTACTTTAGCGGAACGTATCACCTCCTTGTTATCCTCCTAAATTTAGAAATGCATACCAAGTGTTACAAATAACATAGCACAACAAAACGTTAGGACACTAATAGTTAGCAAGTTTAATCCAAGAAATCTTGCAGAAACAGAATTTGAGAATCTCTAGGCAACACATTAAATATTTTATGGATTGTGCATGACTTGAATATGATAAAAGACTAGTAACCTTACACATAATCATACTTTATATCCATTAACTTGTTTAATGATATTTATCATTTCAATCGTAAACAATCAATATACTGTATAAACATTTGAACACATTTTACTTTTTATTTCTATACTATAGCTTACTGAAATGACATTGTAGGAATAATCAATTAATGATATACACGACAAACTTCCGACTATAGCTGCTACCTTGAGGTGGTCAGTATTGACTGATGACATAACCTGATCGATCTACATTGATCGGGACGCTAACCAGTTGAAATTTAACCATCTGCTACGCTGGCATAAATATTAAGCAAAGTCGAAATTTTTAAACGGTCCTAATATGAAGTTAAGATTTATAATTTTGTTAAATGAATATTAAATATTTAAACTTATGTTCTTGTATTCCCGTACTTGTAAACATCTGTCTGACACGCAAACCATTATTGCGTATCTTACATACTCCAAGTTATTGTTAATTTATTACGGACCTAGCACTCAATCCTCTTCCACTTAGGGGACAGTTGTGAAAATATTGCAATTTCTTGATTTAGCTTATGTGGTCAGGATTTTGTTCTGTATTATTGTGAATGATTCATAAATTTGAAAAGTACAATTAGAGGCTATCTACTTGCCGAATTGTATTCTATTGTGGACCAATAAGCCATTTAGCGGTACTCTTAGCTCATATCTCACATTTATCATATCATTAGTTAGCCGAAAGTCATTGGTACTAGATAGCCTCGGCGAGCTAACTAGTACTCGGATTATATCAATACAACTGCTCAATTGTTCTACGGTTTGATCTCATGGACTTTAAATAAACTGAACAATAAAATCTGTTTATTTTCCCAAACATCATCATCCTAAGCAAATTAATTGAATAGCAAGCAGCTAATTTGAGAAACGAATGCAACGGTATACTGCCATTTCCACCACGGAAAGTAGTGAGATGTTCCCCATGAATAACTGAGAATTCTGTCAATGTCACCTTCCTAAAATTTAAGTGAGGAAATATAAAACATAGACACTAAAAACAACACACTGCTTTTCTCCAAAAGATTTCCAGTTTGGGAAATACGAAGCTGGTATATCAGAAAATACCCACAAAACGTCGTGGACCAATGACCTCAAGCAGTCATCCCTTAGGTACTGCAAACGCTCTCGGGTGGACACGGCATCTACTACTACTACTACCGTTTTCCTTGCAGATCATTGAAGAACCATCCTACTTACGACCTTGACAAAACCTGAATTCTTAAAACTGTAAGCTAATTATTCTGGGGATATCAATATTTACGTCCGAGACTTTTGATCATTGACAGTAGTATAAAAATCTATTCTCTAACAACAATCCTTAGTATTGAGTTTTCTATGGATTAATATGTGACTAAAAGGTAGAGGAATTACATAGTAACTAACGGTTAGTGGAGAGTATATTTTATTTGAAATTTAACTTAGAACAATTTTTAATTACCCACAGGTATAGTAAGTACCTTTACTGTAAGCACTGAACATATACTGTTACGGCATCAAATTTTAAAGGACTTAAAAAATGCATGTCGATTTCGGCTATTAAGATTTCTAATTACTAAACCAAATGAACATAAATGAAAAGGTGACTACGCTTTGCAGAACTTACGAATCGCTTTTTATCAGTTTCATCGAGGAGCTGATCTGATTCTTGACCCTGAATAAATCTCACATAATCAGCAAAAAAACTGAAGGGGCCAATCATTACGTTATGAAATGAGAATAAGTATCCACCGAGCTGGAGAAGACGAGGTCGACGTCTTAAGAAAATAAACAAAAATCGTCAGAAATATTAAATTCTCTGAGTGATTAAACAATTGCTTTTATCACCAACCATTACTACATGGTTACAAGCTGAATCAACATGTAATTAATGCACTAAGATTAACGTACTATGCCTCGCTTGTGGATATTAGTACGCTTAATTACAGAAAATCTAGTGTATCAAATCTATGTTGCTTTCAACAGCCTACGGAAACTAAAAAGGCAATGACTATATATATAAACGTCAGACTTATTTCGCCCTTGCTAAATTAATGACAGTATAGATTATTATATTTGGACTTGACTTTTCCAAGTGCATCATGAAAACTGAATAGTAAAGATCGTGCATACTATTTAAATACGCTTTAGAACGCAATAACTTCTCATGCTTTCAAAAAACATATCTATTACGTTCAGTCAAGCGGTATATTAAAGTACACAAGTCTCGCAAATTGACCGTGTTTAAACGTCTATTGTAACTACTCTAAAGCCAGCGAAACTTCGGTTTAGAAAAACAAACACTTGATAAAAATCCACGACTAAGTACAAGAATGTACAAAGTAAGTTATTTATACTGTGGATCGTACACATTTGTGCGAAGCGAATAGTGACAATATACGAAGTGTATGTATTGATTAGTACATTGAACCATGAGATGTGTATTTTGATAGTCAATCTTTATTCATGAGTGGAACTAAGACGGCAAAATTGCATATTCCATGCTAAGTAAGATACTAAAGACACTGGAAGAGCTTGAATTCATAAATATGGATTTTCATGGGCTTTAGCACGTCTTTACACTTCACAGTTAGATCATGGGTAACATATATTCAGTTTATAAATTAAATGTCCAGATAGATATTAACTACAAAAGTACATAACTTGATGTAGAATCGTTACTGAGGTCTCGTGATCAAAAATTTGCTGATACACGGACTTTTGTCTACCTGGTAAACCGAAGAACTAAAAAATTAGACTACTTTCTTAGTGAATAATCCTAGATGCATACACACAAAAATACGAAGTACATTTCATTTGCAGCCTGTATTAAGACTAATTTGACAATAGACTCACTCAACGGCATGAAGCTTGTGGTAGTCTTGGTCAGCTACTCCTTCCTTTGACAACTTTACTCCATCATTGATGTTAAAAGCCAAAGAAGACAGCTTTTGAGTCTGCACCATCAGAGCCCTGAAAACAACTTATCGAAAAATAGCGACATACGCAGAGATATCGAGTCGGGGGTTATACAAACACCTGTGAATATGTACTGAAGATAAATATGCCATTGAAAAGATTAAAATGCCATATTGAGCAACAGACGATGGAAGAAAAACCATCATCAAGTAGGCCGGTATGGCTTGAGCAAACATATGGATGACTAGACTGAAAAGATTAAATCGGTCGAAGGAAATTACGATCCATAGACAAAGTACATCATCAAAAATCCGCTGAGAAACTCAAAAAGGTGACGGCGCTTGGAATTTTCTGTACATGGTGGTATGCATTTTTGCATTACACAGCCTGAAATTAGCGTGAAAAATTGGCTTATCACGAATGCCCACTAAATTTCTTATGGTCATATTATGCAAAAATTACATGTTCCGCTTCAACAACAGAAAAGTACCGGGAGGCACCCATGAAAACAGGAAAACACGAAAGACATATAGCGCGGGTAAAGCAAACACAAAGTTTAAGCAATTTAGCTTCACTAAACGAACTCAAGCAATAACATTTTCAGATTTAGGTTTGTGTAGTAGGGATAGAATGCCAACGGCCTATGTTATTATTTTTCTAGCATGCTTCTGTGAGTGTTTGGTCTTCTCTTAAATGAGTCAATTGAAGATGCGGCCACAACTGCTTCGGGTAACATGTTTCAAGAATTTGTGACTCGATCTGAGAACCTGTATGCTACGGGTATTTTGTTCGTTCTCGGCTTTTATACTTGCCTGGTACATCCTCTGAGATGTCCCGATCTAGCGAAAAAGAAGGGAGAGGATAAATTATGTCCAAAATCAGATCACCTCATAATCTTCAATAAGACAGAGTAAGGAGGTCAAGCTTTTCAAGCTACTCTTTGTATGGTAAGCCACAGAGTTCTGGAATCGCATAGGTAGCTGCTCTCCGTTTTTTCCTGTATATCTGAGTCACCTTTCAAACAGGGGCTTGCAACCTGAACGCAGTTCCCACGTTAATTCTCACTAATGGTTGTGTATATTGTAGTGAGCGTGGTAGTATCTAACTTAGTGAATGTCCGTCTTAGACCCAAAAAGGTTTTCAACCCTTTAGCTGCAACCTTCCGATAGTGGGCCGTGGTTTTAATATCATTATTCACTGTCATCCCGAAGCCGTTGTGAGACCGGACCACGGGTACAGGCACTTCCCCTATGCTGTACCCATTTACCTTTGTATCCACAAAGTGCATGAAGGCGCACCTAACTGCGTGGATAGGCATCAGTCACTCTGTAAACCAGTTGATCACAATATTTAAGTCTGTCTGAAATGCGCATGCATCTGCATCTCCTGATAGTTCTCTCTAGATTTTTACATTGTCAGAATATAATAACATTGGAGACTCGACTATATTTGGGTGTTCGTTTACATACAGTATAAAAAGTAAGGGACCTAGGACGGAACCTTAAGATATTCCAATAAATACTGGTATGCAGGTAGAGTACTTCGAATTCACTCTTACTTTCGGTCTACGACCTAATAGGAAATCCTTAAGCGATTTTGGGGAAGGCCCAGCAATGCCAAGATTTTCTAGCTTCAATAGCAGTTTATTTGTTTCCAACTTGTAAAATGCCTTACTGAAGTCTATGTAGACAACATCCAGTGAATTTCCGTTCTCTAGAGCCTGTATCCGTTGCTCCGTAAACCTTTTCTGAAACCATATTTTTTGCTGTTTAACACGTTTTTGGTCTCCGCATATGTCACTTTCATATTTTCGACTATTTATACAGTATTCAAACCACGACACTGGTGAGGCTGAAAGGTCTGTAGTTCGATAGAAGTTGTCTTGGTCTTGTTTTGTGTATGGTAGTGACAATTGCATCCTTCCAGTCCATAGGTAACATACCTTGGTTAAGTGATATATTGAATATTAGTCAGTGGGGCTGCGATATATTATTCAATATGTCTCAGGATTTTGAAGTGTAATTCATCCGGTCCTGTTAATTTTTCCATGTCTGCGGTGCTAAGAGCTTTATGTACATCGTATCGATCAAAGTCCACGGTGAGCAGATGGTTTGCTGACTTTGTATTTGGGTCCAGTTCCTCGTCTAGAACAGGCTGCTGAGTGAAAACTACACCAAAATAGCCGACTGGGCTAACCCGACAGGCAGAAAATCCCGGAATTCCACTACCCTTGATGAGCAAAACGTGTGTCTACAGTCCGTCCTGCTGCCATGTCTCCAGTTCCCAGTGCTACCCCCAAGGTTTTCGCTGGAAATACGCTTAAGTGGATGTTCAAGAGAGTAATAAGAAGTATTTAAGATTACTTACTTACCTACTTACTCTTGTTACTCCTCGCGAAGGAGCATAGGCCGCTCACCAGCATTCTCCATCCAACTCTGTCCTGGGCAATCCTTTCCAGCTCTTTCCAGTTCTTATTCATCCTTATTTCATTATTTTTAAAAGAAAGCTAAGGAAATTAAAACGCCGCTACTACGAGCACAATGACGTGTATGCACCTCAGAGTATACTTAAATTAATCGACAGAAATGCTTCATTCAAACGCAATTATTTTATGAATATAGAAAATAAAGCCCTAGGTAGTAAAAGCCCGGAATTATCAATACTTCGGCTTTTTAAATCCCGTGTGAAATCAAATTTATTTGGCAGGACTAAATTCTTCGTAGTTAACGGAAGCGTTGTTGACAACCCTAATATTATTTGTGAACAATTCAGCAAGCACTTCTCACAATGCTACAAAACTGAGACTGAAAGCTCTATCATTACATTTCCAATGCTGACACCCAGACACCTTCCGAAAATTGATTTTACACCCTCCAACACCAAGCAGGCCATAGCTGCCCTGAAAAAGTCTTATGATGGTGGACCTGATGGGATCCCTTCATTATTTGTAAAATATGGAAGTAGAGAATTCCCACTATTTTGTTTGAAACTTTTCAACCTATCTATGGAATATGGGACATATCCATCTGTATGGAAAACATCTCTTATCACCCCCAGATTCGAAACAGGATCACGTAGTGATATTGTTATCTATAGCCAATTAATTTAACATCTCTGCTCTCAAGAACCATGGAAAAAATCATCCATAAACAGCTATTATCATCATTACTTTCAGCTAATCTGATAAGCTCATCTCAACACAGATCTATGACTAAACGCTCGTGTTTCTCATCGCACCTGGAATTTTTTGATCAAATTACACAGAGAAGAGATGTTGGTCAGTCAGTGATAATTCTTTACGTCGATTTTAGCAAGGCTTTCGACAGTGTCTCACACAAACTTCTTCTTCTAAAACTCTCTTCATTTGGCATACAGAATCCCCTTTTGTGTTGGCTCAAATCCTTTTTAAAGGAACGTAGCCAAATCGTTCGCTTTGGATCTTGCTACTCTCAACCTGTGAATGTAACCAGTGGGGTTATACAAGGAAGTGTGATTGGTCCATTAGTCTTTCTCCTTTTTATCAATGACGTGTGTTCCCTCTTTCAGTGTGGTAAGCATTTCCTTCTTGCCGATGACCTAAAAGTAGTTTGTTCGTTCTCTTCACCCACCAAAAAAAGCTATATTTCAACCGTAATCCAAGAAGAAATAAACAAGCTATACGAATGAACTGTTTCGTGGAATTTGCCACTTAATGTCGACAAAAGTGGATTTATTCACATTGGCCGCTACTTTAACTTAAATCTGACTATACACAAACTTGCACTGAAACCCCTCAACACTGTTCTTGACTTGGGTTTAAGATATAGCAACAGTATGAAATTTTCTGAGCACATTGCATCTGGAGTATCCAAAGCTAGAAACCTCATCGGATTCATAATGATAAACTTCCATAATATCGAATCGAGGTTGTTATTATACAGAAAATGTATCTTACGCATTCTTGAATATGGTATTTTAGTTTACAGTAATTGCAGGCATAACGACCTGATTAAAATTGAAGGTGTTCAACGAAGGTTCACCAAAGCTGTTCTGGGGTATTCCGACAACAAAGACTATCACCAAAGATGTCAACAACTCAAATTAGAACCTCTCTGGATCAAACGTATCAAATTAAACCTTGTCTTTATCTACCGGCTTATTAACGGTGTTTCCTACTCTTTGGTATCCACCCCTTCATATTCTATGATATCATCCCACAATCTACGCAATTAGGAAAATATTCTAGCGATTCCAAGAACCCACAAAAACTTACGAGCTAATTTCTTCGTTATTCGCTACTCAAGCATGTGGAACAGACTGCCAGTGAACCTCCGTTGCAGTGAAACGACAACCTCGTTCAGAAGTCTCCTTGATGATTTTCTTTCCGAAAATGGATTGTGTCACCTATTGAATATCAATGTATTTGATAATGATTTATACAAACAAGGTCCGTCATTTATCTAATTGACTGAAAAGCAAGATGCGATCCCTGAGACTTTTAACGTCTATTTTGTTGTATTTTCTTTCTGTCCATCTTAATATATGAAATCTGCTTATGTTCGTACTTAAAATTATTACTGTTATTAATATCATTATTGGTCCCTCGACACATAAGATATTCTTTTTATCTCTTTTTATCCTTCCGAACATATATTCTTCCTAAATATCCAAAGTCTCTAACTAAAAACAAACTATCTCACGGCACACTTAGATAAATTAACTTCTCCGATTCATTTTATTTTCACCATAAATACATATATATATATATATATATATATATATATAACACATAGAATTTTATGTTTATCTTTTGCAATTAATCGTGATTTTTACAACATCATTCTTAATTATAACTGCACAAATGTTTACATTAATATCCGGTTTCACTCTATATACTATTGCATAAATCTACATGTATTTATTTTAGTGCACTAAAGGTTTTTTCAATTTTTATTTCACTTTTGTAAATTGCTGGTTTACTTTAGAAGTCGATATTCATTACACAATTACTATTGTTATCATGGTTGAACCCTTTCACTAGGTGTTTATTTCTTTTTTCTCTCTTTTTTCTATCTAAATCAATATTATTCTTAAGAATACGAAGTTCGTAATTAAAACAATAACTTGTATTACACTTAAAATAACTTCTCAAACTCGTTTTATCTTCACTATGCATATATGACTCATACATATTGATATCTCGTTATCCTTTTCACTCTCATAGCATCACTCCAGACTATGACTGCACAAACATTTACTCTTAGCGTCATATCTTACTGCATTAACAAGTTTTTTCCTTAATTATTTTCTATTTTATTTTTGTTACTAATTTGACGATACATACATAGTCGTTTATTCTTGTTCTGTGTTCATAAACATGCTCATAAAAATATTTGGATATCTCACGTCTCCTTTATTTCTGTTCCCTTATTTTCTTCTTTTTCTTCTTTAAACTCAATTCAATATTCTTCTCAATTACACAGAACTTGATTTATCATTATTATTCTATTATTACTACTCTGGCGAGACTCTAATTTAGGGACGACCTTTGGACGAATTTCAAATGACCTTGAG